CGGCAAACCTCATCTTTGTTCACTCAAATTTCCCACCAGACACGAGCAGTAATTTGAATACAATGGGGGTTGAATAAAGAAAATTCACTACCATCTTCAATTCGAAGCGACCAAATCTCGAAGTCGTAAAGCAAAACACTTCGGATCGCGGTAACCTTTCCTTTGAAGAAAAGGAGAACGTGGCGGTGCCACAGCTGTCGCGGGTTTTTCAGCACTCTTATTTTTCCTGCTCGTGATGTTATGTTGTTTTTCCCTGGTTGATCACCATAAAGGGTCAGTGCAAACACAGGCTCCCGTCAGTCTTGTTTGAGTACTTCCTCTCAGATGGTGCAAATTAGGTATCTCTTGTCTTCCGGTTTGGGGTCCAAAAGATTCCGTAACTGCATGGTCGCAGACACCGGAGGTCATGGCTGCGAATCGACGGCAATGGCGATCATGCTATCGCTTCTTATCAGACCAGAATGCTTGAACTACTTTGTATGCACAGTTGGACTATGCCCTCTGTGTTCACCATAGAGGTTCGCTTTCTTTTCTTGTCCCTAAAATACGCCTAATCCCTATCCTCACATATTCTCACTTACCCTGTATGTACTTTGAGTTTGGTAGCTATCGGTGAAGTTCTCTTCACTATATTACACTGTACAATGATGATGATGATGCAAGGCGTGCGAGATTGTCTGCTTAGATTTCCTTCAGTATTTCGACCCCAGATAGGTGGGCCGTCGTGACAGACCGTGGGACGTGTGACAAAGAAGCTGACGCTGAAGACCAGCTAAACTGTGCTTTGAAGTGATCCGTTTACTATGCTACATACTGTTTTTGATTGTGCATAGTCTAGCCGTCCGCTTCAACGATCAGTTTGATCAAACCTAGTGTTTTCTCTCACTAGCCTCGATGAGATAAAACATTCTGTGACAGTTTCCGATGGCGACTGATTCTATTTAAGCCCAGCGGATTTCATATTCGCACCCCGCTACTTGTTGCGTTTCCTTGTGTTCGCTATCAGTCGGGGTTCGAGCGGCATGCGTCAAGGAGTTGCAAAGACGTAGTGATAATCTAGTGTCATGGCACATATCCGACCACAATTAACCAAATCAGTGGAATGTCAAGCATTCTCTGTAATTACACAATGCGGTTTGATGCTATTAAGCGGGGCTAGTTGTTGCTTTTCAGTCAGCGTGTTTCGAAAAGCGGTTATGCAAGCTACTTGAGACAGCTTGTCGCAGTCTGTCATTGTGTCGTGCGTTTGGTCGGGTTCCAGATCAGTGTTCCAGTCCAATCGGTAGTTGTGTATGCAATCCCGCCGTTTCTGTCGGAGACGCTACTGTCACCACAGCTAGTTAAGGATTCAGTTGAATGGATGGAATTGAGGTGAAACGAAGAAGACTTGGAGAAGCATTGCACTGCTGGCAATCGCACTCTGTCAGCGTTCTCGCGCGCCAGCAGCTTCAGTAACCAGAATAATGCAATGGCCATCTTTTACACAGTGGCCATTCAATGTTGCTCATGATATATATATATATAATTAATGAAAGTGCTGCTTCCCTTTTTATTACGGTAATCTGAAATTTTCGTTACCCCTCTGTTAAGCCACGTTCATGTGGTAGTAAAGTACAAGCAGTTGGATTTGTTCGCCATCAGGATGATATTTTCGAGCGTTGGCAACGCTCTGCATATTTTAAGCCGCACACCATCTCTTTGATTATTTCTACCCATCAAATACGAAGGTGGTTCTGCAAATCCGATACTGAAATGAAGCACGTTGAAGCAAACACGAGAATGTGGATCATTGGATTGCACTTTTAAGCAGTCATGGGTTTCCCACATTCAGCTCTTTTAGTATCTTCCTTTTTTGGCTATGGTGACTTTCACTGCGTTGAGTGTTTCGTTCGCGTAAACCAACCAGGAGATTTTCTCCGTTCATGATTATCCAATATCTTCCTAAGTGAATCCGCACCTCTTGCGGAGTGGCTGCCCAGTGGCTTAGTCGCTGTCACCGGCGTGCATTAAACCCTACAGTCCGATATTCAAACCTGTCCACCGCCACGCAACTTTGGTGGTAGGCAGCTTAACTGTCGTCCTATCCAATACCATCTTAGTGAGGCCATATGTCGTTCGTCACTCTAATGTCCCGGAGCTTCGGATACCGGTTTCCACCACTGAAAAGCAGTTCGCCGATAGGGTGAAGACCCGTCTACTATTCATCACGCAAAATGTGTGATAAAAAAATTTAAAAAAGTTCGTCTGTTTCATAGATGAAAATGAACCTCCTGTGTTTTCAATCTATTTTCTAGGGAGCGAAACGGACCGATGGTATCTAGTAAATCCAAATGGACTTATTATTTACAAAGCGCTCATATCAACGTCCCTGTTTTAGTTAACACTGCATGATATATACTTGCACCGTCCCTTATCTGCTTTTGTGTGATCGGTACCACGGGTTACATCTGCGATATTGTCATTGTGTTGCATTGATCAATCAGTATCGATTGGCTTTAACCTCGGTGACCCACTCATTGTTCATTCAGCAGTACGATACACTCGACTAACTCCAGATATAAATGGAACTGATAAGCTGGTCTTAATTCGCCGTCTGAACCGAAGCATCTTCATCGTTTTCAATTTTTTTGTCACTTATTTTTTTTGATCATCGTCCAGTTACGTCGCGCATAAGCGCACAATTTCTGCAAAGCGGTTGTGTCTAACTCATCTTGTCTGGTGTGATCGTGTGATCACTTAGATAAGCCCGATAGTCTTCTTTTGTACAGCGTTACGAGGCCGTTAGTCTAGTTGCTCTAACTCAGTTTGTTTTCAAAACGCAGTTTGGCGAACAATCTTATTTACTCATCAACTGACAAATACGTCACATTTTATAAGAAATATTTTTGTATAGAAAAAGGAAACAAAATTAATGATTATTCAAATGGGGATTGTTGCTATTTTCTGTCTCAGTTTCACAAAACCGGACACGTCTGATCCTACCGTCGGAACTTACGCTTGGCCAATTGTTGAATCACCGAAAATAAGCTTGTTCGCCAAACTGCGTTTTCATTCAATGTGTGCCGTTGATATATTCAGTCTGTTTTCATTGATCAAGGTCGAACTTCATTATCTATTGAAGATGAAATACTTTAGTTCTCTGTAGAATCAAGTTGGCATTAGTTGATGCAAGTCAACTATTGTGCATATCTCTAAGTGGAATTTTCTAATGATTACCTTGTAATAGTAAGTTACGGTTGGACCGATAAATCACCAACTGCTGTCTTCCGGTTTAGTACCACGCCTGACCTAACGGGGCCTTATGTGGTTCGTCACTCCAAGTCCTGAGGCTTGAGGTACCGGGTACCATCACTGAACAGCAGGTCTTCGCGTTAATGGGGTTCGCCCCGTCTGCTGTTCATCACATGGGTAGGTAATAAAAATAAATAATTAAATACAGAGCAGCAGGAAGCAATCATGACGATATCTCCTTGTTGACTATGTTTGCAAAATGCAAGATTACAAGAATGGGAAAATCTAGAAAGTGTTAGGGCCTCTCGCAGCTTATGGGTTCTCGGAAAAATGGACTGAATCCAGCAGTCACACGGGTAGCGATACACAAGGAGAGTGAAACAACAGTCCGACTATGCGTCGGTGATCGCCCAGTGGACGTCACCATTGGATCTCCGGTGAGCTAGATAGCATTACATTGAACACGACCCCAAAGGGGCTTGAGGTTGACGAGGCTCTACCATTGCAGTACCCATAGGCTGAGCGTATTAAAACCTTGTATGAGCAGATGTAAAGAAGCGCCCACCACGAGAATAATCTAATCTTGTTGCACGCATGTGAGATACCAACAGAAGAAGAGGCAAGAAAAAAATGAAGCATACTAAAAACGCAGGGGTATATGGAGCCGAGGGAGACGCTTTTGAAATCAAGGGACGGCTGTTTGGCATCGTACTCACGAGAAACTGACAGGTTAGTGGTATCGAAGGATACTTAGTTATATAAGCTCCAGGATATTAATATAGCTAAATCGGAATTTATTGATTTGCATGTTTGGTAGATCACTAAACAGTCAACGTGGTCTATATCTCGAAGATTGACAGAAGTCCGACTAGTAGTAGGTTTTCCATAGAGGTAGACTAGAAATATGGCCTCCTGTTGTCGGTTTTTCGGTCGATCAAAGAGTAATGAATAAATGGTAGAATTAGCAGACCGAACGCATTACCAAGATAAAGATCAAAGCAAGCAAATGCACGTGCTCCGCCGTTTGTATTGCCTGCCCACATCGCGGTCACTATGATGTTTGTGTATCGAAACCGAGTACGGTCTGAGGAGTAAAAACGATGTACCATGTATGTGTGTACTATTCTACACACATCTGATTCCAGACTGTGCCAAATAAATCATGGTATGATAGCTTCAATAAAAAAGAAAAAAAATGCCTTGATTAACTAGTGGGCGGGATACTGCCAGGTTGTCCAGGTAAATTTCTTTGAAGGTTTACAACTGGTGAACTACCAGGTGTTCATGGACTCGGTTATTGCCTTGCATGTTGACTTTTCGTCCTCCCACTTTGACCACGTGAAAGTGGTGAGAATGACTCTTTCAGCAGAGACTAATTGAGAAGCTTGGTCGCACCGGCGCATTTTGCGAAGAGCATACGTAAAGAGACCATTCACAATCCAAAACACCCACCCCCGACCATAATGTGGCTTTTGGAGGCTGTATGTACAATGTTTGTAATTGTTTGATATCCGATAATACAAGTTTCTCGGGGAAGTTGATAATCAATCGACCCTTTGGCTACCATAGATAACCCACCTCAATACTGGTTTTCAATGGATGTGATGACCAAGTGCACTTTAACCCCAGATATTCATACCGTCACTCATGGACGAGTAATTGATCACATTCACAAGATGTTGTTGACCCACAATATCCCATTTTACTGCGTTCATTTCTTTTTGCGGTCGTTTGTCTTCTAATCAAATTCTTTTTTTTATTATTCACAGAACGAAGTTTTACGAATTCGATCTGAAACCCGTGTGCAAATCGTGCTACGAATTATTCCCCATCGAGTTACGGAAACGAATAGCAAAAATGCATAAAATGGAATGAAAGCTGGGCATTCGTGGACGTCAGAAATTGCAATGCAGCTCACCTTCCAATCCTACCCGTTTTAATTTCCTTTTTTATCTTGTTGACTTAGCCCCTCCCAACCCCCCTCTTATCCTCATCTTTCGCACTCAGCACTTCAGGTTATGTCACTAGCTCGTCAATGTGACCCACGTTTTCCGTTCTGCTTTGTTTTTATTTTGGTCCTAGGTTGGTTGTACTTTTTATTCGCTATCCTCCCCCCCAGATACTTAGGTATTTTATCCTTGAATGCTTGACTCATAACCTTGCTTATTCTCACAATTGTCGCTTTTTGCTGTGTGCCTGCCTATCTGTTCATCCGTTTGCCCATCGGCCGGCATGCTTCTGTCTCTCTTGCCCCCTCACTTTTGTATCATAATTGTTCCTTTACTATTCCATTTGCTTTACGTTTACGACTGATTTTCCTCCCGATCTGTTGATGTGTAAGAAGCTTGTATGCATTTCTTCATTTGCGTCAATCGCCTCCCCCCCCCCGCTTTCATGTATACACACGCACACACACATGCAAATTATGCTGATGCAACAGCTTGTTCACCTTCTGGCTGTGTGCTTTTTTACGAAAGAGCAGGATAATTTCCCATTCGCACTGTCCGTTCGTTTCAATTTCGCCGAGATGGAGCCCGCTAATCTGGGCCACACTTCCATGTGTGTGTGTGTATGTTAAATTCTTGAGGCTTTCGGTCCTCAAATAGCGCTTGACTGAGTGCTCCAATTCAATCTCATCATTTCAAGCTTTGTGCTTTGTTTATACAATATAGTGGTCACGTTCGCAGAGAAACAACCATCAACGAGTTTTTTTCTTCTTGCGTGTGCGCATGAATTATTTCCCCTGTTTTATGCTACAGCCTTTCTCCATGGACAGTCACTCTCGTTCTTGGTGCTGGTCTTTTTCTTGACTTTACTTTGCTTCTCCCACTCGTGCCTATTCTCTCCTCGTGATGATATTGTTGATGACAATATTCGTGATGAATATTACCATTGATCGACATATTTCTTAATACAGACCAAGAATTTATGATCTTGTCCGAATATACCATCATTACACATTGTAAGAAAAACAGTTGTGAACAAGTTCCTTTGTTGTGGTTCATCCGCGGATTAATCCATCACAATTTATGTCCAAGGTGTTTGCTTGGGGGAGAGGAGGAGAAATCATAGCACATAGGGGAGGAAAGTAATCAATAATTTGATGGCAAGAATTGGAGACTCAAACGTAAACGAATTGCGTATGAAACCACTCAACGTCATTACTCAAGCGTTCCTGTTGCTGAAACTATTGAATAAATGTGCGACAACATACAAAGCAATACTTGTGAAATCGGAATTATAGTTGGGGATCTCAAACAGTTGTTATACTTTTGCACAGATAACATTTAGTTCAGATCCAATCCTTCGTAACGGATAACCAGAACCATTCGTGAACAACGTTTCAATGCGTAACTAGCTGCCAAACAAGATCAGTACTGTTGGGAAGAAACCTGCTTACATATCATTACCACTCAAGTGCGACACGACTGCCAAGATGATGCCACGTTAGATAAGAACAGCCATCGAAAAAGCGTTTCTCGCGAGACTTCCCATTAAGTGCATCTCCAGGCCACACTTATGCTTTCAACTCAAAGATAAATTGCCTGTTTCTACGGTCTCTTTCAGTGTGCACCTATCTACTTGTTTCTGTGAGAATAAGTAGATTGATCGCACGAGCAGACGTTTGTCTGTATGAGTCCGAGAGCACGACTCGGCCTGACTGAGTAGTGGGGTGATTAGAACTATCAACAATTCGATCGTTTCACACCTAGTGGAGTCAATCCACTTGGTTAAAGTGACCGAGGCGCATCGACCCCTCTACCTAGTTCGCAGCCATCGCTCAAAGACGATTAGGAGTTCCACTCCAAGTACAACGGAAGCGATCTGAATCCGCCTACATAATCCTCCCCCAGAACTCCTAAAAACCATTCGTAAGAAAGCTCGGTTTTCCATGACCAACGACAGTTATTCCATCACCCACCCCTCATGAACCGAACCAATGCTTTTTTGTGATGACCAAAGTGTGAGCACCATCCACTCATGGAACTGGAATGTTGATTACTTTCCTTCACGATTGGATTTCTCTCTTCTACTAAACATTTTAACGCAAATTGTGGTGTATATCTCTGCGGATAAATCATTGCAAACAAGCTTGTTCTCTGTTGTTTTTGTTGAAATTTATGCTTTGTATCTCTGTCCAATTGGCACCCGTTAGAACGTGTTTACCTATCTTCGAACACAACGTTTCACAAACTGCAGACTACGGATGCAGTGATGTATATAATCTCAGCAGACGAACCTCAAAATGGTTCAGGCTTCCCCGTCCCGGGAGACGATTGCTGCCGCACTTATTCTCAATAGTGTTAATAATGTACACTCGCTGGAAACCACATGGTTCTAGCAGAGAGGCCTGTGCAAGCTTGACGAGCTCTTGTGCAAGGACCAACAGCAAGGGGCACTAGGTTGTACTTTCGTCACTGTTCGCACTCGTCATCAACGCGTATTACTTTGGTTTGCCCATTCAGAACTCGAACCGTGAACCCTCAGATTGGAAGCAATGAGGTCTAACAAACAATTGCGCACATGTTTCTGTGGGTCACATGTTCTAGTTTAACTCCATGCGAGTTCGCACTCAGCAGAACATTACCCTTGTGTTTGTCAAATCGCATATGTGACGGAATCACTTACGAGAACACCATTGTTTGAACGGTTCTGTAAGAATCAGTACAGGTTGGTGTATCACATCCATTTTCTCTCTCCCTGTACCCTAAAGCCATACGGAAATAGCCATCCCTGAAACACAGCCTCTTCCTGGGTTGTAGCTAGCGTGTACGTACATCTGGGCGCATGCATGGAACACAGAGAAGAGGCTGTGGCGTGTATGTCTGTGTGCCACAGCTGGCTTGAAGTTCCCACACAAATTGCGATTCCGACTTGTGCTTTTCAAAAATAATGGCTTCTGTACCTTGGAACCAATAGCTTGATTGTTTTAATGAACTAAAAGCGAATAGTCCATTGGAGTGGAGAAAATCGTCCAGGGCTAATGGTACACTTCACTGAACATTATTGACAAAATTTCGGTATTTTGCTTTGTCGACTGATGTTACAAAGATGCTGTCTGAACAACAGATAGTGTTGTGGAAGTTTTGTAATCCAGACAACGAACTAAAATAAATAGCATATAAAAGCATAATTATAAGCAACCGCGGAAAAGAATTACCTGCCTGAGCTTCACAATTTGCATAGACGAATACCAACCAAAACTTGACAAACCTAAAACCAATGTCAGCTGACCAATGTAAGAATGTTGCCAACAGTGACTCGAACGTTTCTCACATAGTTAGCCGTTTGAGGCCAAGGTTTGTTTATGACAGCTTATTTTCGGAGTGGAGTATAATCCCAGTTTGTTGATCCTTATTGATGTGGTCGATTAGGTCTAAAACTATTTGATTTGTACAGACGGGTTCTTCAGATAAATCAGAACGACAGTAAATGAAGTACCTAATAGTTGGATTGCAACCTCCGAGGCTCTGGCGGAACCAACGACTCACCTTGTTTGCCATGAATCGAAAAGATTGCATAAAATGCAGCATAATAGTAAAATGACCGTACGATCTCAGCCAATAAAGAAACACTATTGACTAACCGCTTTCACAGAGAGGCTTTTGGCATTGACCCATAATTGTCGTCTGTCGATCGCATGTGAATGCCGTCGTCCGGGTCAGAACAACCGCCCAAGGCCTTATGTGGTTCACCACTCCAAGTTCCAGGGCCACGTTGCCGGTTACCTCTCATCTCAAAATGTACACTAAAACAAACAGGATCAATCCTCAAGCAAACTCTCACTCGACAATCGTACTAACATTCGCGGCTTGAACCATAACATTGATTCTGTACATCAATTTATTCAGTTCACATCCCCTCTTGAGTCATACTGTATTTTTCGGTGAAATAATTTCTTTTTTATTGTTCTTGCAATCTGTGCGTATATCAATATTGAAGACCTTTTTTTGGATCTTTCNTCGACAAGTCTCGCCCCGTCATATGCTGAACTAAGGAGTTTTATCAACTCTAAGGTTAGAACTGAACTACTGTTCATAGAATTAGAGGAAGACAAGTGCTTCGACAGATGACTCGTTTGAGGGGTGACGAGAGGGGTCTGCTCCGAGAGCAGGTTTACTGTCACTGCTCACGATCGCCTGTGAGCTTTGGGCTATGTACTGAGCGTAACGATAACCTAAGCTTTGTTCATGTCCACATTCGTATATCAGTGTCTCGGTTTAAAGTATTATTTATATTTATCAATACTGCGCCAAGTTTTAGTGCATAGACACCCGTAAATTCCGGTCTTCATTTTGGTCAAGCAGTCTGTACTCTGTGAATATTACACTCTGAGGAGTGTTTCTGGAAAATCGGTCTACGACATACCGCAGCCGAATTCATATCTATTGTAACCTCATACCAAAAATGACTTGAGTCATACTGTATTTTTCGGTGAAATAATTTCTTTTTTATTGTTCTTGCAATCTGTGCGTATATCAATATTGAAGACCTTTTTTTGGATCTTTCAATACAGTTAACTTATCTCATTTTGCATATTTTGGTTCGTTCTTTGACCGGTTTTTCGGATTATTATCCTTCCATTCGAGCTATTTATTCATTTGATCTTGTTTGCATTACTATCGTGTCTCATCCGACAGATGAAGAAGAAGAAAGTTTGAAAACCACGTTGGATCGTGATCGGCGTCGATGGGATGCTTGTTCGACTAGTCAAGATGGAACCCTACTGTACTCGGATGCATCTTGCTTTCTACATCCGGAACTTCACGACAATATGAAAGATCTTTTGGCGAAGGTAAGTCAGTAATCCTATTTTGAATAAGAAGGGAGCATTTAACAGCTGTTAACTTAACACTTGGGTGTTTTAGTTTTGA